CTTGCAGTTCAGCTTCTTAACCACTTGAGCCGCCGCAGCTCCTATGTAGGATCCTAGCCCGCTCCAATCAGGGAGCTAGGTTCCCTGCCGAGAGCCTATGGGACGCTCGGCCACTGTAAATAACCTATAGGGAAGTAGGGGTGTGTTTTGGGTGGCGGTTTCTCCGGGGATATAAGCCGGAGCCGACCAAAGTCGTCTTGTTCCGGATAGAATAAAGTAGGCTTTGCTGGACTCACTCTCCATTTGCATACTTTTCACTGGCGACAAAGGTGGGATGGATCTCCCTCGGAACAGAGACCACGTTCAGGACATCGCCATGAGCTGCCGCGCCGAATTTGCCACCACCGCCAACATCGAGCATCTTCAAGAAGCGCCGCTCACCGCACCGCTCCCAAGCTCCTCCGAGCATCACGCCGCTGACCCCGAGAGCAGCACCACACCGCTCCGCCACTCGCTTCCACGTGGAACCCTTAAGCTGGCTGCCGCATCAGGGAGTTTCCCAGTCTTCGACATCTCCCAACCCTCGCAGTGGGGGACCTGGCTGAAAATTCTCGAGAGCCACTTCACCATCCACAAAGTGGTGGAGCCAGATATAAAAAAGGCGTACCTGCTGCGCCACTGCGGGAAAGGAATGTTCAAACTATCGCACAATTGCACTCATATCACACGCTAGCAAGGTCATGCTCAAGATCCTACAAGCTAGGCTTCAACAGTACGTGGATAGAGAACTACCAGAAGTACAAGCTGGGTTTCGAAGAGGTAGAGGAACTAGAGATCAAATTGCCAACATTCGCTGGATTATGGAGAAAGCAAGAGAGTACCAGAAAAATATCTACTTCTGCTTCATTGACTATGCTAAAGCTTTTGACTGTGTGGATCACAACAAACTATGGCAGGTCCTTAAAGAGATGGGAGTACCAGACCACCTCACATGTCTCTTGAGAAACCTGTATAAGGGCCAAGAAGCGACAGTTAGAACCGGATATGGAACAACTGATTGGTTCAGCATAGGAAAAGGAGTACGACAAGGATGTATATTGTCGCCTTGCTTATTTAATATATATGCAGAGTACATCATGCGAAATGCTGGCCTGGATGAATCACAAGCGGGAATTAAGATTGCTGGGGAAAAGATCAACAACCTCAGATATGCAGACGATACCACTCTGATGGCAGAAAGTGAAGAGGACCTCAAGAGCCTCTTGCTCAGGGTAAAAGAGGAGAGCGCAAAAGTGGGCTTGAAGCTCAACATCAAAAAAACTAAGATCATGGCATCCGGCCCCATCACTCCTTGGCAAATAGAAGGGGAAGTCGTGGAAGTAGTGACAGACTTCACGTTCCTGGGATCCCAGATCACCGCAGACTGTGACAGCAGCCATGAAATTAAAAGATTTCCTTGGGAGGAAAGTGATGGCGAACCTAAACAGCATGATAAAAAGTAGAGACATCACCCTGCCAACAAAAGTCCGCATGGTCAAAGCAATGGTATTCCCAGTAGTCATGTATGGCTGTGAGAGTTGGACTATAAGGAAGGCCGAGCGCCGAAGAATAGATTCTTTTGAACTATGGTGCTGGAGGAGACTCTTGAGAGTCCCTTGGACTGCAAGAAGAACAAATCAGTCAATCCTCAAAGAAATCAACCCTGACTGTTCCCTGGAAGGCCAGATAATGAAACTGAAGCTCAAATACTTTGGCCACCAAATGAGAAGGGAGCACTCACTGGAGAAGACCCTGATGCTGGGAAAGATTGAAGGTCAAAGAAGACGGGGACGGCAAAGGATGAGATGGTTGGACAGTGTCATCGAGGCAACGAACATGAAACTAAGCAAACTTCAGAGGACAGCGGAAGACAGGAGGGCCTGGCGGGATCTAGTCCATGGGGTCGCGAAGAGTCGGACTCGACTGTGCGACTGAACAACAACAAAACAAGGCTCTGCAGGCACACGCTTATCCAGTGCCGGTGGTGAGCCATGTGTTGGCGGCTTTGGCGAGGGCCCGCGTTTTTGGCAAGTTGGACTTGGCACAGGCATATCAACAACTGCCAGTTGATGCCGCCACGGCCAAAGCCCAAACGATCAAAACACACAGGGGGGCATTCAAGGTTCACCGCCTCCAGTTCGGAGTCTCGGTGGTGCCAGGGATTTTTCAATCTTTTATGGATTCTCTCCTGAAAGGCATCCCTGGGGTTCAGCCCTTTCTAGACGAGGTGCTGATCACCGCGCCGGACGACTCGTCCTTCACGGACCGTCTGCGGGCCGTTCTACAATGTTTCGATGCAGCGGGGCTCAAAGTCAAGCAGGAGCAATGTCTCTTGGGATGTTCACATCAGCGGAGTTCCAGGAATTCACGAGCTACTACAGGATCCACCACGTCCGGGCTGCCCCATTCCACCCTGCCACCAACAGCCAGGCCGAGCGCATGGTCAGAACCACAAAGGATGCTCTCCACCGCTTGGACTCCCCAGACTGGGATTATAAACTGGCGGCTTTCCTTTTCGGCCAGCAAACGACGCCCCACACCACTACGGGGCGCAGTCCGGCAGAGTTACTTCTGGGCCGCCGCCTGACAACCCGGTTAGATCGTCTGCACCCCGACCGAGCATCGACAGAGGCACCATGCATGGAGATGCACGAGGCAGCCAGGGGTTTCTTCCGGAAAGATCCTATGTACACACGGAACTATGCCTGGGGGCCCACCTGGATCCTGGCACGAGTCATACGAGTTAAGGGCCCCAGATTGTATGAGGTCTCTTGTGAGGATGGCCAAGTTCTACACCGGCACATCGACCAGCTACTCCGCCGGACGATGCCATTGGACCCTGAAGACTCGGACATGGCCGAGGTTCCGGAGACCTCACCCCAGGCCTAACTCCCGGTGGCTGACCCCCGGCCTCTACCCTTGGTTGAAGCCGAGACACCTCTTCCGGAGATGCCGGCATCGCCGCCCCCGGCGCCACTCCCGGCCAGCTCACCTCCGAGGGCTCCCGGGGTAGAAGCCGCAGCAGTCCCTGAACCTCGCCGCTCTACCCACACCAGGAAGTTACCAGCCCACCTGAAGGACTTTGTCTGTGGGTGTATTGCGGACCAAGGGGGGAGGGGTGTGATGTATCCAGTGCAGACAAGTCCAGAGACAAACGTCGAGCTTCGCTCCAAGAGACAATGGACTATGTGGATCCTAGCCCGCTCCAATCAGGAGGCTGGGTTCCCGGCCGAGAGCCTATGGGACTCTCGGCCACTGTAAATAACCTATTGGGAAGTAGGGGTGTGTTTTGGGTGGCGGTTTCTTGGGGGATATAAGCCAGCCTGCGAGCCGGCCAAAGTTATCTTGTTCCGGATAGAATAAAGTACGCTTTGCTGAAATCACTCTCCGTTTGCGTACTTTTCAGAAACAAAGTGTGACTCCAACAACACAACAAAGTGTGGCCTTTAAGACCAACAAAGTCTAATCCTGGGTATAAGCTTCCGTGTGCATGCACAACTCCTTCAGTGGATTCCTTTCCGTGTGCATGTGCGCAGGAAAGCTTATACCCAAAATTACAATTCAGGTGGGGCAGTCATGTTGGTCTGAAACAGCAGAACGAAGTTTGAGTCCAGAGGCACCTTTAAGGCCAACAAAGTTTCATTCAAAGTGTAAGCTGAAGAAGTGTGCTTTGCACACACAAACGTCTGCACTTCGAATCAAACTTTATTGGTCTTAAAGGTGCCGCCCCTGACTTCCTTCTGTTACTAAGAATTTGCTCGCCCTCAGAGATCAGTAGAATAACAGAATGCCTGTAGTAGTTTCAGAGGGTTCAGAGTGCTGGTCTGCCGTAGGACAGTTAGTTTCAAGTCCGGTAGCCCCTTAAGATGGGGAGCTGTGTCAGTTTGTCAGTAGAAAAGAGCCAATCCAGTAGGATCTTGAAGACTCACAAAATTGGTGGCAGAGGAGGAGCTTTCATAAGTCACTGCTCACTTCTTCACCTAGCACCTTAGAAGAACCTTTCCGGGTGTCAGCTTTCGAGAATCAACGCTCCGGGGACAATCTAATATGCACATTATGCCTTGCATGGCACCTTTGCATGATTACAAACATTCTTTGCAGCATCCTCCTGACAAGACTGAAAGGACACCGCAATCTCCAGTGTCTGACCCAAGGGAGCTTGGACTCTGGAAAGCTTCTACCCCCGAAACTGGTTGGTCTCGAATCGAATCTAGGTTGCAAACTTGCGATCTGTTTAAGTCACTGGATCTTACTTATAAACGTGGGCTGCGATCACATCACAACACACTGAATAATCCACTCTCCATCCATTTACCATGCACTTTCCAACTAGATTGTACTGCGTGAACAGGCAAAATCCAGTTGGAAAATGCATGGAATGGAAAGTGGATTATTTAGTGTGTCGTGATCGCAGCCTTGGTTAAGATCAGACTGCAAATCTCCCCCATCTTCCCCCCCCACCCCCACCCTAACAAAGCATCCCTGAACTGGAAAACACAGTCCGGGGTGCCTTCTAAATTCAAGGACAATTCTTT